TGGGCTACCTATATAGGGGGAACCTATCTCAAAAATTAATAACCCACAGTATATTGAAAGCCTATAACTTTCCCTGAAGTACTAACTGGTTGCTTCCAAGAAACAACAATGCACTAAGGGCATTAGTAAATCCAGTGTTCTGGGGAGTCACAAGGACTGAGGAGAGGCACCATCTGCAGTGTGAGAGGGATGAGATATATAAAACTTCCTCTCAGACAGGACCATTCTACATTCTAATTAATACTTCAAGTTTGTGTATGTTTAAGGCACCATTTTATCACTGCTCAGTCTATGCTAATTTGCATTCTTATTCTTTGAACATTAGTGGGAAATCTTTCCATATACAGAAGTTTCTGAAAAAAAAAGCTAGTATTACTCATGATCATGACCTACATTTTATGTCATCACTTGGCTCAAGCTCCTAACAATGAGGAACTGATGCTATGCTTGGACTATGGATGACTGAAATTACATTTTACATTTTTACTTAGATAGCTATACAGCTGTGGGTCATTTGCTGGGTTTCCCCAGTAGAGTTACCAAAAAATGAAGAGTATTAATTGAAAATGAAAATATGCTAGGTGTTTTTACTTACTATCTTCAGACTTAAACATCTGAAGTGCTACCTTTTCTTTCTGGGACAGCAAAACACAAACACACTGTTAGTAATTTATTTTAAAAATGAATAGCAATCCAGGTGCCACTGGCTCACACCTGTATACCTAGCTACTCACAATTCAAAGGCAGGAAAGTCTATGAGATTCTTATCTCCAAAAATGCAGGAAGTGGAGCTGTGGCTTAAGCAGTAGAAGACTCCTTGAGCAAAAAGGCTCACTACCCAGGCCCTGAGTTCAAGCACCAGGACAGGCACAAAAAAGGGCAAAACAATCCTTCTATTTATAAAAGTACATAGTAAACGCCATCCAGCTTAGGTCCACTAGGTGGGTTGGAGAATGACTATGAAGTGACCAAGTCTGAGGGTTCTAACGGGTGGGGACCTACCTGGACCTTACCTCCACCCAGCTCTATACCAATGTCCAATGTCTGAGGCCCTGGCTCTGTGCTACCCCGCTTACTGCCTTGGAACAAGGGCAAGGTGGCCAAGAACTTGAGCAAGCCATGTCTCACCAAGCAAATTCATATGAGACATGATCCCAGAGGTATGTGCCTTTGCTCTGAATAAACAGTGTTCATTGCCCCTGCTCAGGTTGCCCAAGGACAAGCAGGTCCTCAAGTTCATCAAGGAAAGGGTAACACAAACATATCTAGGCTAAAAGAAAAGGAAAAGGGCTAAGCGGCCATGAAGGACTGAACTTGTGAGTAATGAAACCTATACAGAAAACAACTATAAAACATACTGAAGGGGCTGGGAAGGTGGCTCAGCGGTAGAGCGCTTGCCTTGCATGCCTGAGGCCCTGGGTTCAATTCCCCAGCACCACATAAGCAAAAAGAAAAAAGCCGGAAGTGGCCTATGGCTCAAGTGGTAGAGCGCTAGCCTTGAGCTGAAGAGCTGAGGGACAGCGCCCAGGCCCAGAGTTCAGGCCCCATGACTGGACCCAAAAAAAAAAAAAACATACTGAAATATTTATGGATGACCTGACACCTCCTTAAAAGTAGTATGAAGGTGTGGTGCTAGTGGCCTACAATCCTACTCAGGAGGCTGACATCTGAGGATCATGATTACAAGCCAGTTCAGGCAGAAAGTCCATGAGATTTTTTTATCTCCAATTAACCACCAATAAACAGTAGAAGTAGAGCTATGGCTCATGTGGTTCAGTATTAGAGTTGAAAGGGGAAAAAAGCTAAAGAACAGCACCTAGGCCATGAGTTCAAGACCCAGGAGCAGCGAGTGCATGCACACACACACACACACACACACACACATCATAGGAAGGCTAGTGTATGGCTCAACAAGAACATCTGCATAGCATACAGAAGGCTCTGAGTTCTATCCAGGAAGAAGGGAAAAGAAAATAGGTGTTAAGGCAGAAACTACAGATGAAACAAGACTGGCTATGAGATAACTGTGAAAGTTGAGCTATCAATCCATGGTAGTCATATTTTCTTGCTTTATATTTGTTTGAAAATGCTAATTTTAAAAAATTAACAGAAAAATATTATACAAGCCCAACACTGATGCTGTCATGCTAGCAGGAGGCTGAAATATGAGGACCAAGGTTCTAAGCAGCAAAGTCCAAGAAACTTGATTCTTATCTCCAATTGACCAGTAAAAACTGGAAGTGGCACTGGGCTAAAAGTGGTAAAGCTTCAGCCTTGTGAAAAAGTCAAGAGAAGCTAGGAACTGGTGGCTCACACCTATAATCCTACCTATGCAGAAGGCTGAGATATGAAGTTGTAGTTCCAAGCTAGCTCAAGCAGGAAAGTCCATGCGCTTCTTATCTCCAATCCAATAAACTACTGGGAAAAAGCCAGAAATGGCACTGAGGCTTAAGTGGTAGAGTGCTAACCTTGAGCCAAGAGAGCACAAGGCCCTGAGTTCAAGCCCTAGTACCAGCACAAAAAACAGAAGCCTTGCTGGGTGCCAGTGGCTCATGCCTGTAATCCTAGCTACTCAGGAGGCTGAGATCAAAGGATCATGGTTCAAAGTCAGCCCCGGCAAGGAAAGTGGTGCTATGGTTCAAATGGATGAGTGCTAGCCTTGAAAAAGAAGCTCAGGGACAGCGCCTAGCCACTGAGTTCAAATCCCAGGACTAGCAAAAAAAAAAAAAGAGAGAGAACTGCACATCCATATTCACTGCACATACTCACAATAGCCAAGATATGGAAACAACCCAGATGCCCCACAATAGATGAGTGGATCCAAAAAAGGGAGTACCTATATGCAAGGAATTTTACATAACCATTAGAAGAATAAAATAATGTCATTTTCAGGGAAATAGATGGAACTAGAACAAATCACAGTAAGTGAGGTAAACCAAGCTCAGAGAGACAAACAGTGCATATTCTCCCTGATGTGCGGATATTGGATCTAAAATACACTGGGATATGATAAATTACACAGGATTCTAGATATTTACACAAAGTGAGACAAAAGAGGATACTTAGAAGAGAAACACAAAGGCGCAGCAATGCCTAAGTGCCTCCTCATACTTATAAAAAGCAATACACATACTGGGGTGAACTCCAATTCCATGAACTCCATAGAAACGAGACCTCTCTCTTTTTTTAAGTTTCTGATGATTCTGTCTTCTTTACCTTCTGTATGGTGCATTTAAGTGTATATCTTCAGAAGGGTTGGGGGGAAAGTATAGAACTCGAGGGAAAAAGTGCAGCAGTGGAGCTCACTAGACAATGATGAAAGTAAACTATACAACTCATGTGTGGAGGCAGGAGACAGGGACTGGGAGAGAGTAAGGGAACAGAAGACACTACAAAAGCAAATGTACTCATTACCTGACTCATGTAATTGCAATCCCTCTGCACATCACCACTATAATAAGAATAAAGTAAATTAATAAAAAAATAAATTTGTTCTACAGCTTTCTCTGGGTCTAGAGTCTGTATGTGATAAACTGCAACCTAACACTGGGTCTTACAGAATCTGTATGTAGTGAACTGCAATCTAACTTACAGATGGGAAGCAAATGGCAACATACTTTTATTTTTGGATCCGGTCATGGGCCTTAACTCTGGGCCTGGGTGCTGTCCCTCAGCTTTTCAGCTCAAGGCTAGCGCTCTACCACTTGAGCCAAAGCGCCACTTCTGGATTTTTTTTTTTTTGCTTATGTGGTGCTGAGGAATCGAACCCAGGGCCTCATGCATGCAAGGCAAGCGCTCTACCACTGAGCCACCTTCCCAGCCCCAATGGCAACATACTTTTAAGCATATATTTTTAAACATAGCTATGTCTGGCAGGCGCCGGTGGCTCACACATGTAATCCTAGCTATTCAGGAGGCAGAGATCTGAGTATCATGGTTCAAAGCCAGCCTGGACAGGAAAGTCCATGAGACTCTTATCTCCAATTAATCACCAGAAAACAGGAAATGATGCTGTGGCTCAAGTGGTAGAGCTCTCGACTTGAGCTCAAATGCTCAGGGACAGAGCCCAGACCCAGAGTTCAAGCCCCAAGACCAACCTTTCGCCCCCCCCCCCCACAAAAAAAAAAAAAAAAAAAAGCTTTGTCTCAGAGAATCACAAATTGTAAACTGGTATATTTCCACTTAAGTTGAACACACTGCTATTAGCTATAGCAAATGCATTATTGCTGTAACTACTCTGGTAGTTTCTGTATGTCACTTTCTTTAATTCTTCCAAATTTACTATGTCTAAACTTTTTAACAATGGAGTAGTTGGGTTTGAAAACTGAAGGGAAACTTTACTCAGTACTTGGTTATATCGCATGACAAAGAATAAGAGAAAAGGCAATAGAATATAGCAAATGAGGCCAGAAAGGTTAAGCAACCTGTTGGAAATTTAACAGTTGGTCCACCCTATGGTAGAGACTATTATTATCTTAGCCACTACATTAAACTGCCCCCTTAGAGAAGAAACCTAATCCCACACCACAGGCTCAAATTAAAAGTTCAAACTGATTTCCCTAGGAAGAAAGTTTTGATTCATTTCTCAGCCAAGGTCTAACAGAAATACAACATACTTACTATACTACTGAATACTAGGCATATTCCAACACAAAGACAACACAATATTTTTTGCCTTAAGCTCTATTCTTGTATTCAGAACATGATGATGCTCATAGTATTAATAACCTTATAGCTTAAAATATTTTATTTTGTATATCACTGAGCAATATTCAATAAGAAATTTCTTTTACAACTTCTGAATCACAGTTCAGTAGGGTTAAGCAAAGCTAACAACTCCAAAATATGAAATGACAAAACTTTCCAACCAACCAGTCTCCTTTCCCATCCCACCCTAACTACAGATCCAGTGTAGTTCCAAGCTACGCATATAATTCTGAGATATCACTTAGGGTACAATACAAAACTACACAACTATAAAATAATGGCAGTGGACTTACGTAATTGCAACATTGCTCCCATCTATAACAATATGCTTCAAATCCATTCTTCCTGGTTCGTTTTTTAATTCCAACTTGTAGGGCACTTTTAGGGTATCTCGAAATCTTTGAACCCCTGTAACTGAGGAATCGATATAATCAGAAGGTCCTGCAAACCTTGCATCAGAAACCGAAGGTAACATCTGGGACTGTGGCATTGATGGAGAAATGGACAGGCAATTTGGCTTAGACTGAGGAGAGGTACAACATCCTGAATGTTTCTCACAGGGAGACTTCCTATTATTTGGAAGCAAGGGTTCTGAATGCTGTTGTAAACCATTTTCAGGAAAAACTGGACTTCTTTGCTGGTGACTTGAGACTCCTCTGGAGACAAGATTAATTTCTTTGGGGCTTGAAGGGGCAACAGAGGGTGAAAGGCCATCAGTTTCAAGGTCTATGTTACAACTATAATTCTGGTTTGGACCCCAGATTTCATGTTTCTGTTCTCTTGGCACAGTTCTGAAAGTACTAATTTTGCAATTTGAGGTACATGGTTTAGATGTTAACACAGTAAAATTTTCTACCATATTTTGCTGTGTGTGATTCTGTGTTTTCTTCTGAATGGAATCTGTTGTAAACTCATTTGTGCTGCTAATACTTTTATTTTTGTTGGTATCTGGATATGCAGTATCAGGTGAAAGTTCACTGTCTTCTTGAAACTTTTTATTTTCCTTTTCAATTTCCTCTAAGAGTAATAATGGTTCAGTAGAAGGCCCATACTCCTTAATGACCTTTTCAACAATTTCTTGGGAATAGCCCATAGTTTTAAAAAAGTTTACAAGGATGTTGTATTCCATTTCCTCAGTAGTGTCTTTTATATCTGGACTTAAATTTCCCTCAGTAGAAGAATCAGATAAATCAATAATTACATTTCCAGCCGATGCCTTATCACCATGTAAGAGCTCTTCTTCTTGAACATTTTCTAAAGAAAATTGCTTCTTGGTATGCCTTTCCTCCGAATCAGAATATCTCCTTTTGTAACAAGCTCTCTCTTTGGAAAGTGCCTCTTCATCTGGACTAGCCCCATTTACTGGAACTTTAAGCATATCTGGTGAACTAGAAAAGACTGTGTCCATTTGTTTTGTAAGCTCAGAAATAGGAGTCCCAGCTTTATCTCTTGCATCTTCCTGCATAACAATTTCATCTCTAGTAATATTCATCTCTGTGTCAGTACTCTGTGTAAACCCTGGTTGTTGGTCATCTCTAACTTCAATAACATCATCACCTGTTTGAAATAGATTCTCTTCACCTTGTGTGAGTGTTAAAAGTTCTTTCTTCAAGGAAGTGGGCAAAATTAACAAATCCATTGTATAATTGTCTGCATGGGCTTCAACAAATTGTCTGAATTCCCTTTTTATCTCTGATTCTTTCTGACTGCTGGGTATATTCTCATTATTCTCAAAGAGCTTTACAAATTGCTGAATATGGCTCCTGGCCATGACCACAGCTTCGGCACTTCCTCTGATGCCAAGAAGACCAATGTCTAAGACACAGAGGTCAGCACAAGTATCCTGAATCAAGCTCTTCAGAAACAGGTTCTCTGCCCCAACAAAAATGCAATGCATGGCTATAGGATAACATTCTCTTTCTTCTAGCTCAGGTTCACAGATTCCTTTCACATACTCCTGTGAAGAGAAAAAAATTAGATCAAGTCACAAAAGCAGCTTACAGAAAATTATATTAAGTTCTACAGGTACTTAAACAAAAGTCAAGCTAATTTGTTTTTAATGTAAGCATATTTGTTTTAGTGTAAAATGCCACAATTTTAATGGAAAACTGACAATGCCAAACGGTTTAATCATCTAGAGGAATTGAAAGCTTTGCATCTCCTATCTAATAGGCAGATATAGCTAATTAATTGTCCATCTTGGTGTGTCAACTAAGGGGTCTGTCTGCCTAGCTTGTATAAGAATCCCAATGCTCTATTTATTTACATCTAAAGACAAATATATGCTTGCTGATAGTTATTACTGCCAATACATAATCCAGAAATAAAAGATAATCAAACCAAATGATTTATTACATACAAACCTTGACTTTTACTTTGTCACCACTGCCCATGGTTTCCACATCTAACAAAACAGATTCCTTGAAAGCATTTAGAAAATAACTAGATGGGCCAGGCACCGGTGGCTCACACCTATAATCCTAGCTACTCAGGAGGCTGAGAGCTGAGGATCTCGGTTCAAAGCCAGCCTGGGCAGGAAAGTCCCTGAGACTCTTATCTCCAGTAAACCACTCGAAAACCAGAAGTGGCACTGTACCTCAAGCAGTAGAGAGCTCGCCTTGCGCTGAAGAGCTGAGAGACAGCACCCAAGCCCAGAGTTCAAGACCCACCACCGACCAAAAAAGAAAAATAAAGAAAACAACTAGATAGTTGGAACAATCTATATCCTATATAACTCTGTGTCTTTTTTCTAAGACCAGATTGTTTAAATTAAGCATAGACCTAAGTACATAAAGAAATGAAGAATGCTAAAAATACGCTTATGTGCACACATGGTAGAACACATATTACTTTGGTTCTAGATTTGGTAATACCTCTGGTGTGATCTTACTCAATTTATTCTAAGCCCAGTTTCTTCAATGGTAGAAGTTAGTAATATAATCTTGGAAGTTAGAGGAATTCATAGAAACAATAGAAATGACTACTGAATAGTGCCCTGTACATAGTAAATAATTACAAATTGCAACAATGTTAGTTAAATTATAAGTGAAAACTTTCTGGCTACACATTTGTGGAAAATGAGCCTGGCTGATACTTTATCTACACTTTCAACTAAAATTAAAATGGTATTACCAAAATAGTGCTACTAAAAAATTCACATTGTGTAGGGGCTGGGAAGGTGGCTCAGTGGTAGAGTGCTTGCCTTGCATGCCTGAGACCCTGGGTTTGATTCCTCAGCACCACATAAGCAAAAAGAAAGAAGCCGGAAGTGGTGCTGTGACTCAAGTGGTAGAGCGCTAGCCTAGAGCTGAGGGACAGTGCCCAGGCCCAGAGTTCAGGCCCCACGACCAGACCCCCCCCCCCCCAAAAAAAAAAAAAAACCAATTCAAATTGTGGGCTGAGAATGTGGCTTAGTGGTAGAGTGCTTGCCTAGCATGAAGCCCTGGGTTCAATTCCTCAGTACCACATACACACAAAAAGCCTGAAGTGGCACTGTGGCTCAAATGGTAGAGTGCTAGCTTTGAACAAAAAAATCTCAGGGACAGTGCCTAGGCCCTGAGTTCAAGCCCCAGGATTGGGAGTGGGGTGGGGGTTCCCAAATTGTGTTACACCAGTAAGAAAGCTTGCACTAACATACACTTGTTTTTGTTTTGTTTTTGTGTCCGGTCGTGGGGCCTGAACTCTGGGCCTGGGCGCTGTCCCTCAGCTCTTCAGCTCAAGGCTAGCGCTCTACCACTTGAGCCACAGCACCACTTCCGGGTTTTTTCTTTTTGCTTATGTGGTGCTGAGGAATCGAACCCAGGGTCTCAGGCATGCAAGGCAAGCGCTCTACCACTGAGCCACCTTCCCAGCCCCATACACTTGTTTTTGATAGGTAAGCATCTTCACTTTGAATTTATATTCCAATGTGGACAAAATCCTTATGCACATCTGTAATTCAAAATTAGTAGTACTAAGCCCCACGACCGACAAAAAAAAAAAAAAAAAAAATTAGTAGTACTAAGTTTCATCCCACACAGGGATGTGAGAAAAAATATATAATTTATGTTATGCCCACACAGGCATGGTTGACATAAACAGTATGATTTGTTTTTCTTGTTCTCTTAGGTACTTTTGAAAGCACCTGCTGTGTTGGTAGCCTCAGTAGTGAAGCATGGAGGAAACTGGTGTTGGATACAGAATCAATAGAACAAATTATTTTGATTACCATAGCATTTTAGTAAAACTAGAGTAACTCATCATCCCTCTTTCTGAACAGGAAATGTTAAATAATGACTTTGGTATCCTTGAGAATCTCCAAATGAGAGACATTTGACTGTCATCTACTAGGGAATGTCTTCAGTGGTTTTGTTTGTTTGTTTTTAAATTTGGCTGGTCCTGGGGCTTGAACAAGGCCTGGGAACTGTCCCTGAGCTTTTTATGCAAGGCTAGCGCTCTACCACTTGAGCCCTAGCTCTACTTCTGACTTTTTAGTGACTAATTGGAGATGAGAATCACAAATTTTTCTGCCTGGGCTGGCTTTGAACTGAAATCCTTAGTCTTAGCCTCTTCAGTAGCTATAATGACAAGTGTGAGCCATTATGCCTAACTTTTAGGGTATTTTTAAAGCTTTTTATCTTCTGAAGTAAAGGTTGACATTATCATAAGAAATGTATTCATTATCTGACTTATGAAATGGTAGCTCCTCTGATCAATACCTTAATGATAACAATAGGATTATATATAAAAAAAGAAATTAACACTCGACCATCAATGCCCCAAACTCCCTCTGAATTGATGACAGTTTTCCAGGATTAGCCACCCCCATGTTCTCAGACTCCAATAAATCTCCAAGTTTTAGACCCTCTAAAAATAAGTAAATAATTAATACACATTATCAACAATTAGAAAATGTGTATTTTATATTTGTATTTCAATAATGGATGGGGGGGGCTGGGAAGGTGGCTCAGTGGCAGAGTGCTTGCCTCGCATCCATAAGGCCCTGGGTTCGATTCCTCAGCACCACATTAGCAGAAAATGCCTGAAGTGGTGCTATGGCTCAAGTGGTAGAGCTCTATCCTTGAGCTGAACTGCTGAGGGACAGTGCCCAGGCCCAGAGTTCAGGACCCATGACCGGCAAAAAAAAAGGATGGTTAAATATTTCTTATCTTCTTAAAGAAATATTTGCTGTATTATAAAGAATTTAGAGCTTTGAATACACAGTATCTGACAAAATGATCTATCATAAGAAATAAAATTGCAAAACTCATTGTACCAAAAGAAATTAAGTAATTGTGACTCATGGATTTTACTAACATCTTATGTGTGGTAATGTTTCTTGTTTGCCATCAGTGTTCTGAAGAGAAACAGATTGGAACAGGAGACTGTAAACATTCATGTACTTAATGCACATAAACATGTATAGTAACATAAACTTTTCATTAAGTAGTTCTTTATTTGCATCCACACACAAATATACACATATACACAAACATGAATAAAATTTAAGTGATTAGAAAGGCTGAGAAGTCCTACAATCAGCAGTTTTTGTCTTTTTTGTTGCAGTTGTTTTTCAGTCTTGGGGCATGAATTCAGAGCCTGGGTGTAGTCCCTCAGCTCTTTTTGCTCAAGGCTAGTGAGTCTGTGAGACTTTTATCTCCAATTAACTACCAGAAAACAGGAAGTGGTACTGTGGCTCAGGTGGTAGAGTGCTAGCCTTGAGCTGAAGAGCTCAGGGACAGCGCCCAAGCTCACAGTTCAAGACCCATGACAAAAACAATCTCACAGGGACTTTTCTGCTGGGGCTGAACCACGATCCTTAGATCTCAACCTCCTGAGTAGCTAGGATTACAGGCAAGAGCTAGGAAAACCAGATCAAACTTCAATTTAATCTATAGTCTGGTTAACTAAGGGAGATACTGAATTAGATCTCAGATTTCAAACTAGAAAGACCTATACCACAGCTTAATGAGACAAGAAAAACATGTTCACCCCTCCTCTGCCTTTGTTCTGTATATGCTTTTGTGGATTCTGTGTCCATCTCCTTCACTTTAAAGAGGGCAATCTGCATTATTAAGCTCACTAGTTTAAATGCACTTTCTATCAAACAACATTTGAAGAAATGCTCCTAGAAATAATGTATAGCCAAATATATTGGCAACCCATGACAACATGTACAGGATATCCTAAATGGTACCTCCTATATCGTTCAAAATCTAAGTCAAGTGGAAAGTTGAAAAATCAAATATAATTGAAGAAATAATTTTCTTCCTTTTCTCCTCCCCCTCCCCTTCCCTTCTTCCTTCGATTCCCTCTCCCTCTCCCCCTCCCCCTCCTCCTCTGGGTCTAGGCACTGTCCCTGAGCTTCTTTTAGTCAAGGCTAGCTCTCTAACACTTGGGGGGACACAGTGTCACTTCCAACTTTTTCTGTGTATGTGGTACTGAGGAATCGAACCCAGGGCTTCATGCATAGGCAAGTACTCTACCACTAAGACATATTCCCAGCCCCTTTTCTTTCTTTTATGGCACAATGTAAAAAAAAAATTAAGACAGAATAATTTTCTATTGAGAAAATTTGTGGTGATTTGTGATGGCACATTGTCTATGCTCATAAAATGGAATTATCACTTTTATAAAGCTAGTTTTCTTGGGCTGGTAATGTGGCTTAGAGGTAGAGTGCTTACCTAGCATGCATGAAGCCCTGGGTTCAATTCCTCAATACCACATAAACAAAAGCCAGAAGTGGTGTGTGGCTCAAGTGGTAGAGTGCTAAGAAGCTTTGAGCACAAAGAGACTCAGGGACAGTACCCAGGCCCTGAGTTCAAGCCCCCATAACGAGGCGGGGGGGGGGGGGGTAGCTAGTTTTCTTTTCTGATTGTAAGTAATGAAACTATAAGAATATTCATAGTATCAAAAAGAAGATATCTAAACATGGAAACTGGAGTTTTAATGTACTTTAAAATTTTATCTTGGTGATTC